TCAGCTCCTGCACCTTTCCGAGATAAAGAATCATTTTCTCCCCTTTAACTCCGTAAGACTCCTCTATCTGCTTCACCATGAGCTGGGAATCACTATAGATCTCAAGCTGATTTGCTTCCATTGAACGTGCAAAGTTGAGCCCAACACTGACAGCTTCATAATCCACCTCATTGTTTGAAGCCTTAAACTCAAACCTAAGGGCGTATTCAACATCTATTCCATCTGGGAAAGTTATAATGAAGCCAGCTTCACTCCCTTGAGCGTTGGCAGCTCCGTTTATCGAAAGCTTTCATACAGAGAGGTCGGGTATCAACTGTGTTGCCTCCGTATGTGCTTCTAACGTGAATTCTACGATAAAATTTGCTAAGATCTGCCCTTTGATTGATGTTCTCGGCTTGTACCTAATGTCGAACTCACTGAGCTTGACAACCCATTTAACTAACGTCCCTAAAGATTCTGTCTTGTGCAATACTTGTTTCATCGGTTGCTCTGTTGGTATCTCAATAGTATGGCCTAAGTCTCCCAACAGTCGTAACCAGGGCCAAGATGAACTTCTCCATTTTTGGATATCTTTTCTCCGCTCCCCATATAGCTCTGCTGCAGTAGTAGACTGACTACTAAGCTCTATCTCTCTCCCTTAACAGTGAGGTATAGGGTGAGTACCTCCCCCTCCAATGGGCTTACTAAGACAGAGGGCGGGCTCAGATAGTCATTCAAAGCTTTGAATGCTTCTTCACACTAGGTGTCCCACTAGAAGGCCTTCTTTAAGACTTGAAAGAAGGGTTGACATTTGTCACTTGACATGGACATAAGCAACTTAGTACAACTATTCTCCTTGTTAATCGTTGTACTTCCCTTGTGCTGGAAGGTGGTTGCATATCTATTACTGCTTTAACATTTTCTAGATTAGCTTCAATCCCACTGCTGTTGATTATGAGCTTCATTCTATATTCTTTAAGGACTTGGAATGACTCTACTAGATGCTCAATGTGGAGCTCTACCTTTAGGAATTTTACCAACATGTAGACCTTTATGGTCGCCCCAATCTACTTTTTGAAATATTCGATTCACTTGACGATGGTAAGTGGCTCCAGCATTTTTCAGCCCGAAAGGCATAACCTGATAACAGTACGTCCCTTGCTCTATCACAAAAGAGGTATTCTCTTGGTCATTGAAATCCATTCTAATTTGATTATATCCAGAGAAGACGTCCATAAAGTTGAGGAGCTCGTGTCCAGCGGTAGCATCCACAATCAAATCTATTCGAGGTAATGGAAAATAGTCTTTAGGGCAGGCACGGTTGAAGTCTGTGAAATCAATGTAGAGGCGCCATTTGTCATTGGTCTTCTTAACGAGGACCACATTGGCTAACCAGACTGGGTAGTCTACTTCTCTTATGGCTTTGGTAGGAAGAAGTTTTATGACCTTCTCATTGATGGCTTTTTGGCGTTCTGGGGCGAAACTTCTCCTCTTCTGTTTAATGGGCTTGCAGGCGGGGTTTATACTGAGCCTGTGAGTGATGACTGAGGGGTTGATTCCTTTTATGTCTTCTTGCTTCCAAGCAAAGACTTCCATATTTCTCCTTAGAACTGAATCAAGAGGTCTTTGATTTCTCGGCTTAACTTTGATCCCACATATACCAAGTGCTCTAGCTCTTCATCAAGCTGAACTGGCTCTAGTTCTTCTGATGGAATGGGTCTACTGTCCAGCTCATCTCTCATGTGAGCTCATCTAATTGGATGTTCTTTACTTCCTTATTTTTTACATAGGCCATGTAGCATTTTCTCGCTGCACGTTGGTCTCCTCGAATCACTCTGACTCCATTTTTGGCGAAAAACTTCATTACGAGGTGGTAGGCAAAAGGAATTGCCTTCATGGAATTGAGAGATGGCCTTCCGAGCAGCATGTTGTATGGAGAAGGTGCGTCAACCACTAGGAACCTTACAATTGTTGTGGCCTGGCAAGACAGGTCTCCCAGGGTGAGCACTAGTTGGATGGATCCTAGAGACAACACCCTTTCTCCTGAGAATCTCAACAAATAAGCGCTCACTGGCTCAAATTTTTCCCTTCCTATGTCCATTTTGTTGAATGCAGATACAAAAATGATGTTTGCCGAGCTGCCATTGTCAACCAAAATTTGATGAACAGTTCAATTGGCAACAACGACTCTTACCACCAAGGGATCATCGTAGCGATGCTGACAGCCCTATAGGTCCGAGTCTAAGAAAGTGATGGTTATGTCTAACCGTGGTGTCTTGAATACAGTATGCATTTCCAATGTCTCATCAATTCTGATTCTACATAAGTGAGCCTTCTTTGCTGTGCTGAATTCTTCGCCTTCAACAAATCCTCCAGATATCACTTTGATCTCTCCCAAAGGTTGTTGATGCTGCACAGGGGCTTGTTGCTAAGGAGCTGGAGGTGGTTGAGCTCGGTTCTGATTGTCATTAGCTACAAACGTCTCAACTGCCCTCGTTGGATCAGGAATTCTATCTCATTCTTTAGCTGGATGCAATTGTCAGTGTGATGACCATGATCCCTGTGGCACTCATAGTACTTGGTGGGATCTCGTTTTGTTGGATCCGCTTTCATCCGAGGTGGCCATTTGAGGAACTTCTCATTTCGAACTTCATACAGGATTTGTGATACCGTGGCGGTGAGAGGAGTGAGCTGCTGAGGTGCATACCTCGACTGCAACTCTGGCTGAGGAGGACCTAAACGATCTTTGACATCTCCTCTTCTTTTGGGAGAATGATCCATGTCTCTTCTTGGAGACCTATCTCGTCCTCTTTTCTTTTCTAAGACTTCGATCCTTCTTCTTTTCTTCTTTCCCCTTTTCTTTCTGTGAGGAAGAGCTTCCTACCTTTGAGAGAAGGGCTTCCTTGCCATTATATACTTTTCTGCTTTAGCCAGCACCTTTGCCATGCTTACTTGCGGGTTCTTCGATTGAAAACATCAGATCCTTCGACTACACTCCTAACCTAGCAATGAAAATAGTGATAGAGAACTTCTCGTGCGAAACATCTACCTTCAGGGATTTTTTTTTTAAACAAAACAAATCAACATAAGACCGTAGGTTCTTGTTGGGTCCCTGTTTTACATTTAACAAGTGGTAACTCAATTTTTCGGTAGGTTTGAGCTCCAATGAACTGGGACATGAAGGATATGGAGAGCTCCTTGAAGGAAGAGATTGATGCTAGGGGGAAGTTTGTTGAACCAGGCCAGGGTTGAGTCTTTTAGTGTGATGGCAAAGGCTTGACATTGCACAGGGTCCTGATATCCATGTGGCTCCATCTGATTTTTATAGGTATTGAGATGCTCCATGAGATTTTTAGTCTCATCAAATGTCTCTATCTGGGACATTTTGAACTTTAGAGGAAGGAGAAAATACAACACCCCAGCAGTGAATGAGGACTTGATTTGCTGTACCAATGCATCCATTGTCATTAGGGTCTTACCTCTTATAGCTTCTTTCATGTGATTGAGCTCCTACTGGATGTCACGGAAGTGCTACTCCTAGTATTGCTCTCTTCTTTCTTGTTAGAAAGGGAGAAAATAGGAGGCAGGGGGCGTGGCTGTTCTCACCCCCTTCGTTGACTTCTTTAAGGGGGTCGAGATGTTGATACTCTCCCTGCAAAAGACCCCCTTGGGCTGGTCTAGTTTGCTGAGGACCTTGTGGGAGCTTCAAGAGCTCTTCGTTATGTCGAAACAAACACTGGTTTACTAGATAAAGGGCCTCCATTTCATTACTTGTTAGGGGATCGATTCCAATGGTGGGGATGAAATCCTGAAAGTTTTCGTGTTGCCCACTGCCAGTGGCTTCTTGTTGGTTTTGAATCCGCGGGGGATTCATCTGATTTTTGCTCATGTTGCACGTTGAAATCATCAATCACTGACAAATCAACGTATTTGTAACAGGAACAATCTTTCTCACAGACGGCGCCAAACTGATGGTGTAATTAGGCAGATGAACAAAAAGTACGAATCAAATAAGCGAGTTTGAATCTGAGCTATAAGGCTCGTGAGGATTATGGAAAGGTTCTTGGAGAATTGACATAGCTTACATGGTGAAAATATAGTGGTTCACCAAGCTCGGGGGCTCAACTAATCCACTCTCAATGGGAGTGTCTTGCTCCTTAGATCTATATTGATGGTTGGTAAAAATTATAGAGTATTTTTCATATAATCGGGAATCCCCCTCATAATAGAGGCACTGCCCAACATTTATAGTTTTAATTCCCATTTCTAAGGGATTTGCAACGGGATTCCTGCCCTTCATTTGTGGGATTTTTCCTTAATTTCAAAGAGAGGATCTTGGGTGGTTGAGAGTCTCGCGCCTTAACCACTGCCTTTCGTTATGCTAGAGATGCCTTCTGCTAGCTAGCTGTTCCTCTTATCTCTTTTAGTCTTTCATACAAAAGGGGGTTCGAGGCCTGAGCCTCTGATCTCAGGGTTCCTTAACTTATCTTCCAGTCTGATCTCTCTTCCTGAGCTCATATTTAATCAAAAACATTCCCATATATCATCACACATATAATATTGATTTAATTTAATACATCTGGACTTTATTTTTTCTGTGGTGATATGAAATTGATGAATACTACACAAATCTTACTAGTATTATTTTTTCACACGCAAATTTGAATTCATTTTCACGCCCAAAAGAAATAAATGCTACAAAAAAATAATTCGATAAAAAAATATTATTTTTATTTCTTTGGTAGACATATGGGGTCCACCGTTAGTAATTATAAGTGTCTGAGGCACGTGTACTTCAGAGAGGCAATCAGCGTTCTGACTTCACATCCGGCCTGTGGTTGTTCGAAGTTGGAGAGTCTTCGAGGTTCAGGAGAGAAAAAGACAGAGGGAGACGGCATTCCCGAAGCCACCAGAGCGAACTAGGGAGTCTGGGCCCCATAGGCAAAGCTAGCTACTTCATACTTACCCTCTACTTATAAGGTTCTACGTTTATGCACTATACCCATCAATAATTTGTGATTATGGGGACGGAGGAGACAGGCGTAATTCGGCCGTCTGATGCGGCCGCGCAACCGCCACGTCTGACGCCGGCCGAATTTAAGGGAAAAGAATGTTCACCACTCCACACAATGCTGGCACTACTTTTATGGCTTGGCGCCATTCATTTCAACGTCATCATCTTTTTCGCTGCCTTCGTTTTCCTTCCTCTTCCCAAAGCCATGGCGTTCGTTCCCATTTCTCCTTACTCAGTCTCACCTACCTCCTTTTCTATCCGTAGCTGTGTACTTAATATTGATTTTTCGTTTATTTTTTATTTTTTTTTGTATATTTCAGGGTAGTGGTTTTATTGGTGATATTTATGTTGATTCCAATTGACGAGAAAAGCAATTGGGGCCGCAAATTAGGGAGGTTAGCGATTTTCAGGTTTTGGTTTTGTCTCATAGAATCCGATCCAACGAAACAAATTTATTAAAACTATAGAATTCAACCCAATATTTTGTTCTTTTTATAATTGTAAATTGTTAGTGATATATCTCAAAAAATTCAGGTACATATGTAAGCATGGTTGTGGCTATTTTCCGGTGACTTTGCACCTAGAGGACATTAAAGCCTTCGATCCTAATCAGGCTTATGGTAACCGCTTTTCTGCCCATTTCTTTCTTTGCTTCCAAATTACAGATTATTTTTTAAATTTCCCATCCGCTTGTTGCAAAAAGTATAGTATAAACACTTGGATATCTTAGATTCTGTGGTGGCATGGGTTATACCCACATATTGAAACTTCATAAGGGTAGTGGCAAATAGAAATAGACTCAAAAAAAATTCGTTTCCACCAAAATTTACTATTTTTGGAGATTAAATACTTGTTCAAAATAACTTATAAAACTGAACGTAAACTAGAGATTTTCAGGTTTCTCACCAAAATTCAAGTTTTCTCCTTTTTGCATCAAACCAAAGCCAAAAGAACCAGTTGCTAATCTAATTATAATCCACAAAGTTTATGAATCATTAACCTCAGAGCATGCGTATGTATGAAGCATACCATTGGTAAGGGTTACGACACCACATGTTCTAAAGTTTCTCTACCAATTTCTGCACCTGCGTCCTGCAAACTAATCTTTAGCATCCTTAGTTTGTCAAAAGAAGCTCTTTCTTGGGGAGATTCTATCATTCCCATCTGCTTAACACCAACCTTGGCCTAGGTAGAAAGGTATGATATCGAGGTGGGATGAAGAACTTGTCCTCCCAAGTAGAATCTTCACGTGGAAAGTGGGCCTCGGAATTAGCCATTGACTAACTTGTTGACGGTGTTGCTGAATCATGTGTGGTTAGAACGTGTAATGGCGTGATCTATAGGGTGCCATCTTTTGAAACATTGGGTAAGTGGCACACTTGATCATCACAACCATCTATCTTGTTTTTGAGGTGGGATACATGGATTTATGAACTGTAATGGTGGTTTGACAATAAGGTTAAACCCATAAATACACCATGTCATCAACCTCATTTTCCCACTTCATCTGATGAAGATTTGCATATTGTTTCATGCTATGTTTATCCATGGATGGATTATATTTGAAAAAAATTGTAAAATTTCGTCTCTTTCGGCCAATTTTGCATTAACTTGTGCCACATTTGTAGTGCCCTCCTCATAACTTGTCAGAGGAGGAGGGGGATTACCATAAACAGCCTCGAATGGAGTCATTTTAATTGATGTATGGTATGAAGTGTTGCGCAAATACTCAACCCATGGTAACCACTTAACCTAGTTCATGTGTTACATAATGTGGTTATGTTTTTAGGGTTTTTTTTTTTGGCGGGAAGGGGGAGGGGTAAAATCCAAAATTGGGTTATGGAACTATCTGTGTGGTTCTAGGAAGGAATTCCAGTGGTAGTTTTGTGAGCTTGGGCTTTTGGGGAGGTTGTTTGAGGCCTCTGAGAAAAACGTTTCTTTAGGTATTAGAGAATGTCCTGAGTCGGACATGGCTGTTGAACCAATATTGGTATCCTATGAGATTAGATTGTGTCTTTGTAACTGGGATCCCATTATTTATTTTGCTCTAGGAAATTCACAGTCTGTATCTGACCGGGCCATAGTCTGTTACGAGGAAGTTGGGGCTTGTTTGAGTCCATGGGTGGGAGGAGAAAGAAAGGAGAAATTTGTAGGTGAGGACAGGTCTTATATGTCTAACGAGGAGAAGTGGGTTATCCCTAGGACCTTCTTAATGAAGATGGATTTGTCCTTAGTTCCCACTAAAAAGAAGGGAAAGATTGAGGGGGATGGGAGGAGTGTGGGAAAGAAAGAGGGTTTGAGAGTTAAAAAATTTGTAGTTTGGTGTTAATTATGATAGTGGGAGTGTTAGGAAGGTGAATGAGGGAGTCTTAGTTTGTTAAGAAGATTGTTAGTTGGAATATTAGGAGATTAGATTATAGGAAGAAAGGTGCTCTATAAAAGATTTTCTTTTGCGATATGGGCGAGATATATCATTTTTTCATTAATAAAAAATGGAGGCAGTTGATAAGAGAGTGATTAAAAAGTATGTAGGGGTTGGGGCTTACGAATTTTATCTTTTAACCTTATGTGAGCATGTCGGGGGTTGTAGTCTTTATGGGATGAAAAGGTTTTGCAAGTGGAAGAATCTATAGGAGGCAAATTTACAATTTCAATTTGTGTCAAACATAGGAATGGGTTTGATTGGTTGTTGAACGGTGTATATGGACCCAATAAACCTAAGTTAAGGATGTTGTTATATGAAGAGTTGGTGGGTTTGCTTGGTATCTGTAGTCCTCATTGGTGTTTAGTTGGTGATTTTAATGTCATATTTGTCAGAGAAGTTGAATGGGGGGAAAATTAATAGAAGTATGAGGGATTTTGATTCTTTTATTAGGGAAACGTAACTTAGAGATCTCCCTTTGGCTAATGGTGCTTTTGCATGGTCTAATTTTAGGAGTGGACTAATGTGTAAAAGGTTAGATAGGTTTTTTGTTTTCGGTTGGATGGGATAATTGCTTTTGGGGGTTAGGCAAGAGGCTTTACCTAGAGTCTTCTAACCATTATCCTATTGTTCTTGATGATTCTGTTATATGGTGGGGTCCTTGTCTTTTTAGGTTAGAAAATATGTGGTTAGAACATAGTGCTTCTCGGGAGAAGCTTAAGGAATGGTGGATAACGTTTCAAGGATGGGAAAGCTCTAAGTTCATAAAAAAGTCTAAGAGTTTTTTAAAATAAAAGATGAAGGCTTGGAATAAAGAAGAGTTTGGTGTTATTAATGTTATAGAGTCGAGGATGTTAAGGAGGATTGGAGATCTTAATAGGTTAGAAGAAAGAGAAAAATTCGATGAGGAATTGAGAAAAGGGAGATGGAACCTTAGAAATAAGTTTGAAGAGGTGGTTTTCAAAGAGGGGACTAGTTGTAGACAAAAATCTAGAGTTAAATGGGTGAAGGAATGGAACAATAATTCCAATTTTTTTAAGAGAGTGAAAATGGCAATAGAAAAAAAGAAAATCATTGATAAATAGGAACATTGAGGATGGGGCAATTATTAAGGATGAGGAACATATTGAGAAGGAGATCATTAGTGTTTTTCCAAAGTTATATTTGAAAGCAATGTGTTCTTGGCCTAGGTTGGAAGGACTTGAGTGGTGACCTATTGATGGAAGGACATTGATTTGGTTGGAAAGACCTTTTGGTTGGAGGAAGCTAAAGGAGTCGTGTTTTCAGTAGAATGCCCTTGGGTTGGATGTCTTCACTATGGCCTTATTTCAAGAATGTTGGGATGCGATTAAAGATAATTTGATGAAAGTTCTTGAGGAGTTTTGTTTTCGTAAGGGAGTGGTTAATGCAATTACAAATGCTAAATTCATTTCCTTAATCCTGAAAAAAAGACAACTGGATTACATTTTTGGCTTTGGCTTTAGGGTGTTGAGTCTGGAGTTGCTTATTAAGTATTTAGGTTTTCTGTTAGGAGGTAACCCAATATTTGTATTTTTTTTTGGGATTTGGTCATTGGGAAGGTTGAAAAAAAGGTTGATTGGTTGGAAGAAGGCATTTATTTCTAGGCGGAGATGAACTATACTTTAACCTATGTGGGCAAGCATCCCCACATATTTTCTTTCCCTTTTTAAGTTGTCTTTTGGTGTGTCAAAGAGAATTGAAAGGATGATGAGATTTTCTAATGAGAAGAAGGAATGAGGGTACAAATGATCATTTGGATAGTTAGGAGGTGGTGTCTAAGTAAAAAAAAAAATAGTTGACTTTCGGTGGGAAATTTGATGGCTAGAAATGTGACTTTGTAAAAAAAGGACTTTGGAGCAGAATTCGTTACGGCATTCAAGTACGACTTGTACGTCTAATGGTGGGATGCTAATGGGTGTGATAGGGGAAGTTATTGAAATCCTTGGAAATTTTTTTTTTTTGAATTATATTTTTTTGGTAAAGAGATCAAGTTCATTGTAGGTAATGGGTTGAGAGTTTTTGAGAGGATATTTAAGTTGGGGAGTCTTCATTTTCATATATTTGACCTTGTTTGTTTTGTCTCTGTAGGTATCATGATTGTTGTGTTACTTCTTTGGTGAGGTCGGATTCCTTTCCAATTGTTTAGGATTTTGGGTTTCGTAGGAATCTTACTGATAGAGATTTTGGAACCTGAGCAACCTATTTCCTTGCTTCATACAATCACTTTTGAACCTAGATTCATATGAAAAAAGGTGTTGGGTAATTTGACCCATCGCGACCCTTCTCATGCAAGTCTTTTCTGAATCTTTGATTGATGATCCTTCTATTACACTCTTGTATCCTTCATTGAAGATTTAGAAGGCTAAGATGTCTTTGATAGTGTACATTTGTGCATGTGTAATTGCTATAGTAAGATCAATACATATGATGTGTTCCTAAGCAGAAGTCCCTATGTGTCATGTGTAGAGAAGATTGTGGAACTGTGGAATGTTTATTCTTACATTGTTCCACTGCATTATGCTTACGGAATAAATTATTTGAGCTGGTAGGATTTTGTTGGGTGGTGCTGTGATTTAATTCATCTGTGCATTTCAAACATTTTGGTGGTGGAGTAAGGGGTGTTATTCTTTGGCAATGTGCTTGCCTAACAATCGTTTGAGTTCTTTGGTTGAAAGGAAATTTGAGAGTTTTTGAAGATAGAGAGGACGTGTTGGAATGGATATGGGACTGGATATACTTCTTAGCTTCGTTTTGGGCTTCGATGACAAAAGAATTTAAGAGTGTCCATCTTTTTCATCAAGTTGGATAGCTTCGTGTGGATTTTAGTTGCAAGTTTTAGGTTGAATGGTTGCGGTGTTTTTTGAGTGTTTAGGGTTGGACGACTTTTCCAATTTCGATTAGATTATGTAATACTTTATTTAAAGTTCTGTTTCTTAGGAAAAAAAATTGTGTACATAGAACCCAACCTTATTTATGGGTTTAAGAAAGAAATAAGAATAAATATATGATTCATGTTTATCATCATCTATGCTTGTCCAGACTGTTAGTCAAGGTCCTACTTGGTAGTGCTTGACTTTCCAGTTGACGTAACCTTATTGGGTGTGAATCATGTATTTTCTCAAATTTCTTTGGTTTGTTCTTGTTACATTCTTTGATTGTTCTATGAGGTGTCACAGTCTAGAACCTAGATAGTTGGGGAATTCGGTTTTTAATGACTACATGTTAGGTTTTCTTGGCAACTGTATCCAAACTGGTAAGGCATTTTTGGCTGAAATGGAGATGGATATGCTTAATGTGCAGATAGCATTATCTTTTGGAATTTGTGGAACTGATGGTGGTAAAAGGGGGTAAGAAGCCATTGGTAGTTTCCATATAGTTTGAGTTGTGCTGCTATATTTCACTGAACAACTTACTTTGACTATGTTTTTTACAGTAGGATATATTGGCTAATTTAGACTCTGCTTGACTCTTAGTTTCACGCTTATCCAAATGGGCCAAGCTTTCTTGGGGCTCAGTTTGGTAGGCTCATGAAATTAGCTTATGTAGCATTTTTGTTTTGCAATTTACCGTTTCCATGCAACTGATTTGTAATCTTCAATCACTAATGTAGCATCTGAAAGGTCCGTATCAATGTTACTTGGATCATAGGTCGTTTTGGTACGTGATACAGGTACGGGTACATGGTACGACACTTTCTTAGGTATGTGGTACAATGGGGGTAAGTTTAGCCGGTATGGTATTTTGGGTTGCAATTCGTTTTGGAATTCTTATGTAGATCGTTTTTACTACTATACAACATTATATATTGCAAAACATTTATAAACATTAAGTTAGTTACTATTTATCTTATAATTGTACTTGATTTTCTATTATCTAAAATAATATATAATTATAAATCTATATACATGTAGTCAATTAATATGTATTTTATATTTGTGCTACATGTTCTAAAGCGAATTAATTTAGGGTTAGTATTGTAATTTGGGGTCGTCAATTTTGGTGATTTAGATCTCGAACCCACCACGTTTTGGATCGATGTGCCCAGATCGTGGGTTGTTAGAGGTTTAGTGAATTGTGGTAACCATGGTCCGTATATCTTTTTTTTTTTTTGATTATTTCTCATCAGATGTGAAACTTCAATAGAAGAACCACCCATAAATATCCCTTGTTTCTCTTGTACAACTGTGGGAATTGTAGGTGAGGGCTCATTGTAAATTAGATAGGAAGAGTGGAAGATGATAATTTAATGGAACTTTCTGAAAAATTAATTTCCATTTTTAACTGGTCATGAGGAGCGCCATGTCGCTTCTTGTAACATAATCTGTGAAAAGATGCAACATGAAGGATGATGCAGAATAGCTGAAGAGAACAATGAAAAGGGCTTCGAACTAACTTTGTTACAAAAAAACGTGATGTTGCATGGTCATGCTGAAAACATAGCTCGAGGTTGTAGGCTTTTTTTAAGTTGATTACTTTTAAGGTAATGATTGTGGTGATTGTAGTGATTAATATTTTCATATGATTTTAAAAGCTTAAATTCTATTGTATAGTAGTAGTATAATATAACTCTACTCTACTTTTTATGATAGAAATGGTGTAGATAAAATAAATAAAATATAGTGAGACATGTTAAGTAGAGAGAAACTGAGAGTGGTCAAAAACTTAACTTACCTCTCACAAACCACTTGTATTTATAGTTAATTTATAATAATACAAAAGACATATATACTCTGTAATATTTACGCACGATACCCCAATACTCTTAACATTCCCTTTCGAGTTAGACTATATATATATATATATCATATAATTCAAACTTGGAACAAATTATTGTAAGATGTGTACGACTTAATGCTTTGGTAAATGGAGTCATAATCTCTTCATCTATTATCTTGTTTTGAATAAAATAACAATCAATTTTAATATGTTTGGTTCTCTCGTGAAACACTGGATTGACAGTGATATGAATAGCTACTTGGTTGTCACAGAACAACTGCAAAGGGAGTTGGATTGGAAATCTAATTTCCTGAAGAAAGTACAGTAGCTATGTTAACTCACTCGTTGTATGCGTCATTGTTCTATACTCAGACTCAACATTGGATTTTGCAACCATTGGCTATTTCTTACTCTTTCATGTGACCATGTTACCTCCTAAGAAAGTACAATAACTAGTTGTTGATCTCTAATCAGAAAGAGAGCTAGCCTAATCAGAATCTTAGAAACCTTCCACCCTAAGGTGTCTATTAGCTCGATACAAAAGCCCAAGATCGAGAACACGTTTAAGATATCGTAGAATACGAGTAATTGCCTCCCAATGTGGTACTTTAGGACATCTTATAAACTGACTCACTACACTAACTGCATAGGAAATATTCGGTCAGGTAATAGTGAGGTAATTGAGTTTCCCAACCAATCTACGATAACGACATGGATTCTCAAATAGTACACCATCATCCACAATTTCTGATTTGTATCCATAGGAACATCAACTGGTCTCTCAAATAGTACACCATCATCCACAATTTTTGATTCGTATCTATAGGAACATCAACTGGTCTGTCACCCAACAAGCCTGCTTCCACTAACATGTCAAGTACATATTTTCTCTAGGATAAACAAATACTCTATTTAGATCGAGTTACCTCAATATCCAAGAAATACCTAAGTTTTTTCAAATCTTTAGTATAAAACCTGTCTTGCAAGAAGGTTTTTAACTTGACAAGCCCCTCCGTATCATTTCCAATAATCACAATATCATCTATATATATAAACCATTAAAAAAACATATCCGACATCTGTTTGTCTATAAAACACATAGTGATCTGTCTAACAGCGAAGGGGACCAAACTTTAAAAATGCATCTGAAAACTTACCAAACCATGCCCTCGGTGACTGCTTCAAACCATACAAAGATTTTTTTAACCGACATACACTCGTACCATACTCTCCCTGAGTAGTAAACTCAGGTGGCTGCTTCATGTATACCTTTTCAACCAAGTTACCATGTAAGAAGACATTTTTGACATCTAACTGAAACAAGGGCTAATTATGATTAGCAGCCAAAGAAATTAAGGTACGAACAGAAGAAATTTTGGCAACTGGAGAGAAAGTCTCTTCATAATCAACGCCATACGTCTGAGTGAAGCCTTTTACAACAAGGCGGGCTTTGAGATGCTCTACAGAACCATCTGGATGAAATTTAACAGTATACACCTAATGACAACCAACAGTTCGTTTATTAGGGGTAAAATGAACAAAATTCTAAGCTCTATTATGATATAAGACATCCATCTCCTCCTTTATAGCTTTCTTCCAACCCAGATTAGACAATGCATCATGTAAGTGCTTAGGAATAGAGATAGTAGATAATGAATTATATGAAACAAAATGGGCAATAGGACGGTTAGTAACACACGAACGAGTACCTTTTCGAAGAGCAATAGGTAAAGAGTTTGAATTACCTGATGGACCAGTATTCGGAGACCGCGAGGAAGACGGTAACTTTTTTTTTTTTTTTTTTTTGTATTTAGGATTGTAATTGCTCTGATACTATGTTAAGTTGAGAGAATTAACACAATATTAGAGAGAAACTGAGAGTGGTCAAAAACTTAACCTAACTCTTACAAACCACTTGTATTTATAGTTAACTTGTAATAATACAAAAGACATATATACCCTCTAATATTTACACACAATACCCCAGTACTCTTAACAAGACCCATTCAGAATTTTATGCAGATAGGATTTCTAAGGGAAGATGTCATTCTCTAGCTCCTGGTCCCTCTTGGGCAGGGGGGCTTTCTTTGGATGCATTTAACATGTGTTGAGATGCTTAGTGACATGCTTGATGATAAAGCAACAATTTTTATGGTAGAAATGATGGGGGAAAAAATAAAATAGAGTGAGACCCATGCAGAGATTTAGGTAGAGGGGGTTTCTAGTGAGGGCTGTCTTTCTCTAGCTCCTGGTTGCTCTTGGGCTGTGATGTCTTTTGATGCATCTAACATGCCTAGTTGACCTGATTGAGGACGAAACAACAAATTTGTTTCTGGTTGAGTTGGGAGAGTAATTGGTGGGTATTATTTGTTTATTAAAGGTTAGTTTTAAAAGTTTGTTACATTTTTCATTTTATGTTGGATTTTTCTATTGCTGCTTCTCCCATGGGCCTAGCTCCTTTGAATCTATTTCAATATGTGGATTATACACTTGTGATTTCCTTTGGTGGGCTGTTACAAGTTGTAACTGTGGTTTCCTAGAAGCTTTAGCCTTTCCAGTGTGCAAGTAGCTTGATCACTTTAGTTTTTTTCCCAGTTTCTTGCAGTAATGACCTTAACCCTGTTCTTCATGTAGTTTTTGGCTATGAGCCACATTCAGTTTGGCCAATTGGTGTTGTTTGCCTTGCCGACCTTACAGGTTTCATGCCTCTCCCAAAAATTAAAGTTCTCGCAAGTACTGCAGTAAGATCTGATACCTTGTACATACTGGGGAGTCATAATCACTATTTCTTCTCTTTTATGTTAACAAGTTGGAAAACGTGATCAGGTGTTCTACACACCATTCATGAGGCATATATGGACATGGTTGGGGCTTGCAGCTGCAACAAGGAAAGATTTCAGTTCCCTTTTGGCAGCTGGTTATAGCTGCATCATAGTGCCAGGCGGAGTTCAAGAGGCATTCTATATGGAGCATGGCTCAGAGGTTTGACTCTTCTAAATTATTTTTCTCCAGTTGCATATGAACTGTGTCTAGATTTAGAATTAATGCGACTATAACAATTTCATCATCTGTTGTGCCCTGAGTCCTCTTCTCGGAATCGCTCTCTCTCTCTCACTCTCAAGAATGGGTTTTTCCAACATAAATAAACATCATAGAAGTCCAAGAACTACAATTTTTTTGATCTATAATACCACCTGCCTGCAAATCTTCTTCCTTAAATCGCTTGTCCTTGATTTTAGAATTGCAGTCTTGTACTGCTTTAATCTTATGATGCCTCGTTTGAAGATTCTTGAGGTTTCACTGGGAGATATTCTTAGTTTACTTAATTTCCGGTTGAGCCCTCTAGTAACAGGTTATAACTACCAAGATTCTACTAGATAAGCAAACTTAAAGCAGGTTAATTTGTCTATCCCATCATTTTTATACATTGTTACTGGTCGGCATGTATGTCATCCTGTGAAGATCTGGTTTTGTTATGACATATAAGTTTTCTGGGCCAGGGTGGTTGGACCATGCATACATATTTCTTGCTCTCTTCCATTTCTCATATGGAACCAGTTCATATAATTATCACAATGCAGGAGCTTAAGCTCAAGGTTTTATACTTTTATTGGCATATGATATTTCATACCCTTTTTCCTATTGCACCATATGTGAGTGTGTGTGAGAGAGAGAGACAGAGAGAGAGAGAGGAGTTTTCTTTACTCCTGATGAACCTCTCTGGTATTCAACTCCCCCTTTGTTTGTTTTGTAGATTGCCTTCCTCAAGACAAGAAGAGGATTTGTACGAATAGCTATGGAGATGGGCAAACCCCTGGTTCCAGTTTTCTGCTTTGGTCAGGTATTAAACTTTTTCATGGTTTTGTTTTCTCTTCTTATTCGTTTTTCCCATTTTCAAGTAGTTGGGCATCTGCAAAGTCAGGGTTTAGCATCTCATTGTAATAAGCAGGAACCTGGATTTGAAGCTTTATATGTACTCTTGTGCATTCCCATAATGGTTTGCATGTACAAGCCCCTAAATGTTGATTGGTGATGGATGCTTATGTGAGACTTTTTGGTTTACCAAACTGGTGTGCAACTTCGTTCGGGTTATTTATTATTCCGAATATCAAGCATTGTTTTGTAGAAGGTTCATTAACAGAACCCCCTTAAAAAACCAATAATTATTCCGTATATCATGCATTGTTTCCTAAATGGTTCATTCACAGAACCCCCTTAAAAAACCGACATCCTGAAAGCCAAGATATCTATGAAGCAAGGCAGAGAATATAGATGTCCGGCAGCACGAACTCAGGAATAGGCAATAGACCGGTCCTAATTTAATTTTGCAAGAGATTGGTTAAAAGGAGCAGTAGAGAATGTAAAGATTGAGGCCGCATCTAGAAGCTCAATTTCGTGCAGGAGATTGCACAGGAAGCAGAGAAGCAAGTGTGGGTTGACTAGTCCTACTTCCCTAGTAATTCCTCAGTTGATGTCCTCTCTAAGCCTTCAAAAGTGTGACAATTAATGAGGCCAGAGATTATTGGACTCTGATTTAAGAAGTGGTTGGCCGATGTAGGAATGGAACCGAAGTGCAGATGTCACTGTGTGAGTAGGCAGGTTTACTATCATAGATCAAAATAAGTCTACTAAAATGAACCAAAAGCTATTGTCTGATCTAACCAAAAGGATTCCATTTATAAATAACAAATGGGGAAGCAGAAGCAAGCAAATCGATATATAAAATTGGAACTTCTGGAAGGACTCTTGTAATGGATATGCTTCAACTCTGTGTTTAAGACTCCTCGCTTGCAAGGAGCTGCATGACAGACCTCCAATACAAAAGCAAAGCAAGCACGCTAGTGCCCAAGGGCTTACATTTATCTGCTCATCCAATTTCTTTTACATGGATAGTGTTCGTGTGTTCCTAAGTTGCACTTGAAATATATTGGCTGCTAATTAAACTACCAAAATTGTGGTAGATCTTTCTCAGGCTTTTGAATCAGCAAGGGTTTAGAGTAGTTAGCAATGCTTTATAAAGGATAGTTGGCATTCACCATAGGGTTTGGTTCAGCCACATGATGACTAGAGCATCAGTTCTTTGAGATAAAATCGCTCTTGTATGAAGTACATTTTGAATCTCATTTACATAAGCCTACTGCCATCTGTGTGTCGTGCAAATGTGTTATTTTTCTTTTTCATTTTTGCTTTTTTTGGCACCGATACGGATTTACGTCTACTTTGTAAAAGCTTTGGCACTTGAATGCAAAATGGTAGGAACAACATTTAGGGCACACAATTCGTTTGGTTATCGCACTTAAGTAGGCTTGTTTTTCTTTTTTTGAAACTTAATCTAACTTATGTCAAAAACCAAAATAAACCGTACTTACCAACATTAAAAAAATAAAAAATTGGAAAGTGCTTCCTTTTATGATTACAACAAATTTTTAAAGCTGAAAAACCGAAGGTAATTTCATCTTCAATTTGTGCTGCTGCCTTTGTTTTGGGACCTTAAATCCCTAGAGCTTTTAGGAAAGGGGTTTGCAGGGTGATGCTGGAGATGTGGAGGAAGAGAGAAGGAAAGAAGAGGGGGGTGGGAGGGCGGGGTTGATGCAGATTGGTCAGGAGAAGGGCATATTACACACATTCAATGAAGTTGGGTCAAAATTGCATGTGGTTTATGAAGTGAGGGTTATGTGGCTCTTTTTGAAGGTGAGGGGATGATATGTAGGAGAGCTGAACATAGGGGTAAAGTGAAATATTTCCCTATAACCTATGCAGTGGGATATATGATTCCTACACATACATTTGTAGGCGACTCTCAAGCGTTTGCGATAGTCGACCCTTTAAGCCCTCACCCCGTTTGCACGTAATAAACTAGTTTTTTTTTTCTTTTTGAGTTAATGCGAGTCCGTTTCCAGTTGTGCATGGCCTTGCTCACAGAACTGCCAATCTTACCTAATGTTGCGATTGCCTCTTGATTAATCATGCAGATTCATGTTTATCTTGTCATATGCTATTTCCTATAAAATTGTTTTGTCCGTTTCTTTAGTTTATATGCCTCAATTTTGCTGCAGTCTAATGTCTACGAGTGGTGGAAGCCTGGTGGGAAATTTTACTTGCAATTTGCTAGAGCTATAAAGTTCACGCCAATTGTTTTCTGGGGTATTTTTGGGTATGTTCAATCTATTAGTGACTATATTTTAGGGATCATTAGCAAATACATGATTGTTTCATTAGTGGTTTTGCTGATCAGGCACACTTTGTGTATGTGGAAGGAGTCCATATCCATGAACTTTCTAATCTTCTATTGCCATGTGGATGGATGTTATAATCCCTCTTACTTTGGCGTCCAATATGAGACCTCTATGTCTGGTTTCCATTGGGGTTTTACTTGCCATAACCCATAGTTGATAATTCTATTTGTTTTTCTTGTGAAACAATGGCAATCAAGCTTGAGACCCCCATGTGAATAGGAAATAGCATAAAAATCTATAGATGGAGGAAATGTTGTTCCACTTTTTTGGCGCCTTAATATTTGCTGAGACCCATTGAATGACGAAAGGTAACTGACTAACTTAAAAGTAGATCTTCTGGTGCCTCTTCAAGCAGTTGTAAGAGAACTTTGTTTGATTTGGCCCCACTGTGAAATGTGCATAGAATAGACATTGTTTTCTTGAGCTGGTTTTACTTGCTTTATGGTTGTAATGTTGCAGATCTCCTATTCCTTTCCGGCATCCTATGCATGTGGTGGTTGGTAGACCGATAGAGGTCAAGAAAAACTCCCATCCCACCATGGAAGAGGTACCTTGCCCATCTATCTTTCTACAAATTCTTTATGGATTGTGTATGTACATAGAGCTCTAATGTTCATTGGAAGTTATTTCAATAAAATCAATTGCTCATGTACTCTTTTGAGTTACTTTGACTGCCATATTTCTTCTTGTCTCTTGACATGTGTCACAATACTTCATTTTGGGCATTATATGGTGGTTTAATAGGCTCATATACTCTAAATACAGATCCACACGTCCTGGAGTCCAAATATTGGGACACCATTAGTCATACATCTTAATTCATCTTACTCCATGTCACTTTTTCCAAAGATAATAGGTTGTGTTTAGTTTGTTTACTTTTTTTTTGAGCACTTTTGAAAAAGAAGTTTTAGCTTGGAAAGAATAGGATAAAAAAGAATTGAAATTAAATGCCCTCTTTTCTTTTTATTTTTTGGTCCTCTAGCCATGGATTTGGATTGTTATTCTGCTTTAACTACCAGAAAATTGTTCTACTATCCTTGGGGCTTGTTTGAAATTTACTTTTGGATTGCATCTACTGTGAATGAGATCTGTTTGTTAAAGGGTCTTTATATCAATCAACTTCTTGGACAAAGTAAAAGTTTGATTTCCTCTTCTTTTCTAATTGTCTTTTACACTTGGCTGCATTTGAAGGTTGCTAAAGTACATGATCAATTTGTTGAGGCACTTCATGATCTTTTCGAAAGACACAAGGCAAGGATTGGCTATGCAGATCTTAAATTGAAAATTCTTTAATAAAATTGCAGCTGTATTCATGATCCCTTATGTTATATAATTCATTTCTCCGTTTTCCTGCTTTTTATTTGCTGCTTTTTAGGTAAAGTGTTACATACGTTAAACTTCTTTCTATTGTGTGTGTGTGTGGCCTACAACCCTGATTTGGTACCCATACGAGACTTCATTTGAGCAAAGATGCAAAATGGCCTGATTTGGCCAGTCATAGTAATTGCACTAGCAAGAGTACAATTACATTGAAAGGGATTAATTGATTAATTGTTAGTGCTAGTAATTCATGATTAGTTGAATTTTATTCTAAAGTTGGCCTCCCCATAACTGCTGAAGCAGAAACATACAATCAAATACTTCTTGATAAGACTTACTTTCTCAAAGTTAAAGGATTTGGCTTTGTTACAAATATCAATCCAAATAGCAGACAATGTGGCAATCAAAGTGAAAAGATCACTTCTTTTGGTAGGATAAGGAGCCAATTTCTTGATTCCACAAAGCCCTTCAGGCTTTCCTGTGTTTCTCTTCATCCTTGTACCCTTTCTCTCCCCTTTTAGTAGGAATGGTTTTATGACGTAAGCCATGCATGTAAGAGCAACACCAACAAATAATAATTAAAATTGACGGAAGGCATAAAGCATCACTTCTGGTTCTATCTCCACATCGATGACAAAAGAGTATCCAGGCCCTCTTTGTTCCCTAGAAACTTTAAGGCAACCAAATGGGATGTTGGGGGAGATGGAACAATGTCCAAGCTAGTAGCAACAACCTGCTTTGTAGCTTCACTTTTTCTACTGGCGTGATGCTTCTGATCAATAGGAAGAGGAGAAAAAAAAAAAGCTTATGATGAGCATTTATTTGAGTTGATCATTTTCAGAATCTAATTCAAGTTATTTCTTATGTAGTTGAAATGCCTTACAATCTGAAGATTTATGCTTAAGGGAAGCCTGTTTACTAGAAATGATTGAAGTATACGATTAAGATTCCAGTATTGACTTTGAGACATAACCATTTCCAAATCTACCAGCAATCTCAAGGTTATAGTCAACCACCCCCATAACAATACTCTTTTGATCCACTACAATTAGGGCAACAAAAGAGATCTTCTTCATCCTAACAACGTCAAAATCAAGAAGCCATGCCAATAGAGCTTATATAAAAAAAAGTTTTAAGTAAATTCAATGAATAGATAGAGTTAATGGAAAGACAAACAACGTTGCCTACACACGAATTAGTTTCTGAGATCGAGCAAATAGGGTCAGAACTCGCTGATAAGAAAAAAATGAAGCAATTCCTAAAACTTCATCAATTCGTTGTTCATTGATTGATAAAACTCTCTATATCATCTAGTTTCAGATGCAACAAAGGATGGGTCCTTTTTTCTTCTCGTGGGAGCCTGGAGGAGCAGCTCCCCAATAGTTTTTCACAATGACGTAGTCCGAACCCCCCTTTGATCCATATCCAACAGCAGCCACTCGGTGATCCAGCTCAGTTCCACAACGCCTATCGAATAAGGGTTGCCGCCTTCAACTGCTGCTACTGTTGAAAATGCCCAACATCTACCACAGGAGCCTTGGTTTTTAACAGGAGTGACAGCAACTTTCTTTCTTCTCCAGTCTACAGATTTGGGCAAATCCACGACTTCCCTGTAAGTGAATTCTTCAGGGGACCCCCTCCTCTTAGGAAACTCAACCTTTAGTCCTAAATACATAATTTTGAATTCCTCATGGCTCAAATCCTCATACTCATTCAACCCAAGTAAGTAGTTACTACTATCCTTGAAGATCTCAAACCCACCCATGCAACTTCTCTTCAAGACTCTCGTAACTCTTGCCATATTTTTGACCTCCACTCTTCAAAGAGATTAATGAGTTTATCAATGCATGTGAAATCATCAGGTGAATAACCAACGTTTGAGAAAGCTGAACATGGCAAATGCTACAAAGAACGAGTTAGAAAATGAGGAGACAGCCATTTTTATCAGGCCTTCATCCGAGGAAAAATAATGAATGGATGAAGAGGGGAAGGGACGATGGGTGGATTTATAGAGGTTTTCTTGTCAAGTGTTCTTTTTTTTTTTTTTTGAAAGAGAACAATTATTCATTGGGAATATCAGAGATAAGAAACGATATTACAAACTCATGTGTTTGCTCTTTTCATATAATTAAACTTTCGATAAATCTGGCATGTTTAGCAAGATGAAGTGTAACACGGATGCCACTTCTCCGCACCAAAGCCACCTCATAGTGCCTAATGCGATTGAGTTTGTTCTTGATGCTTACCAAAGGAACATTCCAGCGCGGCAACTCCATTTCTGCTCCTTTCAATAACTTAAGTAGCTTCACAGAGTCAATAACTTTAGAGCAATTACCTCCCAAGTCTTGCGATAACCCACCTGTGTCCACTTTCTTCGGAAAGCGGCTACAAAAATGCCATTTTCGTCTCTGATAACAGTACCTACACCAAAAGAATGGCCCTCCTTTAACATTTCTCCACCAAAATTGACCTTGCAATACCCAACTCTTGGGGGAATCCAACATGCTGGCTATGGAAGTGTGTGAATCAGTTGTCCTTCCCTCCACCGTCAGCTGGTCTGGAACTAGAAGGTATAATCCTTAGCTGATCGGACAATTTCAGCTAGGCTTTTGGACGTTCCCATATGAACCATATCATTGCGATTCCTCCATATCAACTAACACTGAGCCAAGAATAATTCGAACTCTTCTTTATTCAATACCTGATACACTTCTCTTACCCATTGAGCCGGTTCTAAAATTGGTACATGAACTATACTATGAAGAGAACTAAGTTGCTAAAGTACTTTTGCCCAATAGCGCTCTTGTAACATGTGGGTACTGGTTTCGGTCTCCGTTCAACAAGCAGTATACAGCTTATCCGGCTTAATTTTCCTTTGCCTAAAATTTCCTTTAGTTGGCAGGGCATCCAAATAAAAGCGCTAAATTAATTTATTTTGTTTGGGACTCGTCGTTTCCAAAAAAAATTCCAGTTAGCAGAACTGGTACTACTAGAAGCCTGATGTGTGGTAGCTAGTGTTGCATGGTAGGCACTTCTCACCCAAAAATGACCATTGATGTTGTACTGCAATATCAATCTGCCCTCAAGAGAAGTACCTTCCAGAGGTATTTTTTTAAGGGTAAATTACACTTTGCCTCTTTGAACTATTACTATTGTTTTACTTTGCATCCTCAACTATAATTTTTTCACATTATACTCTAAAATAACAATTTTATTTTATATTACTCCAATTGATAACGAATGTTAATTTTTTGACGGTAAATGTGCATGTGAATGATCTGTACTGCCAATAAGTAACTTTATAGCAACCATTTAGTTTCAAAAGAGGTAAAATAAAGTGGTACTACTAGGCACTTGGCGGAAAGATATTTATGGTTTCTCTCCTTCATTTGAAAGATTTTCAAGTTTGTCGTTATCTATTGAAGTAATATGAAATAAAATTGATATTTTAGGGTGTAATGTGAGAAAATTTATAGGTAAAAGTGCAAAGTGAAACAAGAGTAATAATTCAGGAGGTAAAATATAATTTACTCTTTTTTTAATAACCGCAGCTTCATGAGAGTAGAAGATGGCATCCACCAAATTGTTCCTCCAACAACAGGTTTGGGAATCAAATAATTCATTCACTGTGGCCTCAGTTGCTAAGGTATTCTATGGTGTTACCACTTTGAAGATGCTTAGGGTAGGGATCCATCTGTCTTTCCAAATTTTAACTTTTCTTCCATCCCCTATTCTCCAACTTGAACCTGCCTCAATAAACTTTCGAGCCTCAAGAATACTTCTCTATGTATAAGATGGCCTATGGCCTAGGTTTATTTCCATGAAAGATGACGAAAGAAAATATCTAGCCCTCGTAAGTGCAAATGTGTAGGCCGTTTATGATATATTTTTCACGCTTGTTTAGTCAGTAAGACTAAGTTAAAAGCCCAAAGGTCCCAAAAACCACATACATCCATTTGCCTTGGTTTTGCACATGTTCCTCCGACAAACCCAAAAGAACTTTTCGCTCCCCTCCACCAGAAATTTACATTAATAATTCCAAATCATCACGTAAATATTTTAGAAATTTGAAGCACCCCATTGCATACAACGGAATTGACTAGGGTACTATCTTAATTAAGATCTCTGCCTACTTTCGATTAAAAATTGCTCTTTCCACCTTGAAGCTTTCTCCACACATTCTAATGTCGCTGAAGACTTCCTTTTTTTATTTACCCACAACTGAGGGTAATCCCAAATATTTATCATACTGGTTTACAAATTCCACCCCAAGAATTCTTTGGATCTATGTTGCTTTCTCCTTAGGAGTATTTTGCTACACACTATAGCCGACTTGTCAAAGTTAATTTTTGTCCCGAAACTAATTTGTAGGTACAGAGGATCTGTTGTACTACTGTTGCTTCTGAGGACTTGGCATTCAGAAATAGAAGGCTATCATCGACAAAGAATAGGTGATAAATTTTTGGGTAGCTTTTTCCAACCGATACTCCTATATGATTTTCCCATCATTCTCTACAACACATAACAAAGCTGACGTTCCTTTTGTATAGATAAGAAAGAGGTAAGGGGATAACGGGTCTCCTTGTCTCTGTGGGTAGAAAAAACCTGACTCGCCATTGTTTAAAATAAGTGAATATAAAACTGATTTGACACACAACATAATTAAAGAAATCCACTTATGGTCAAAGCCTAACCTACCCATCATTTTCTATGAAGGGTCATTTGGAAGTTGATACATTAAATTAGACTTAATAGTAAAAAAGTACACATAAAAAAATATTTTGAAAAAAAACATACTAGTCAGATACAAAGACGTAAATGTCCACTTTGTAAAATTTTATTTCCTAAAAAATATAACAAGACATTTATTATAATCACTGAAATTTAAGGTTATTTAATTCAAAATCTCTTTATCTTCTACAAACCAACTATATGTCCTTCATCAAACAAAACCACTTCATCTTCTTGGTGCAAAAAGCCCAACCCTCTATCTTCCATAACCAAAAGAGGGTTTTAAATGGGCAATGTACATCGATTGACACAAACTAAAGAAAGGTGAAAGAGTTATTCGCGATTTGAAGAATTTTCAAAATTTGGCATAACCCCTGAATAAGGTGATTGCTGAAGAGGATCTCAGTGTTCGTCGTTGGACTGCGTTTAGTAAGGTGATCGTTGAACGCCTCCATTCAATGTATATTTTTTTATTTTGGATTAATTGCACTGGAGGTCCTAAAGTATGGAGTTTGTCTAATTTTGGTCCCCAATATTTCAATTGCATCATTTTGTTCCCTAAAATTATTGAATATGTTTCTATATGGTCTCTCAAGCAGATAGCGTATAGATTGCTAATGATTTTTTTAACATAAACTTGTCACATGATACTTAAATTTGGACAAAAAAATAATTTGGATAATTCTTAACCAAATTTCTACTTAAATTTTGGGTAAATAAATACCAAAATTATACAGTTTTGATAATGAGCTATCTAAATTTTAGTCAAAAGTTACACATATTACACATTTTTTATTAAGAGCTACCTAAATTTTGTTTCCAAGCTATCAAAATTATTTTTTGTCCATATTTAGGTATTAAGTGACAAGTTTATGATAAGATATCGTTATTAATATAATGTTGTCTGCTTGAAGGACCACATTGAAACATATTCATTACTTCAGGGATCAAAATGATGTAATTAAAACATTGAGGATTAAAATAAGACAAACTCCATATTTTGAGGACCTCAAGTGCAGCTAACCCTTTTATTTTTTATTTTTGGTACTAACAACATGGATTATCCAAAATCAAAATACATTATATGTATCTTTGATTTTGGTGTTATTTTTGACTGGAAGTTGTTGTCAAATTCATGTTTTGGAAATATCTTGTTGCCGTTGCGTAACATAATAGATAAATTTGAAGATTGAAGACAAATGCAATATACGTTTGGTAATTTTTGGCAAAAGTCCTAAAATTATGTATTTTTATACCCTAGATGTTTTCCTCTTTGAGAAAATGATAATTTTTTGGATTTTGTACACTTAATAATTTTTTGTTTTCACTTGTTTGAATATAGGTGTGAAATTATGTTTGGAAGTGTAAAGTAAACTAACTTGTTTTGTTTTTACTTGTGTTCAGTAGTCTTATGTATGTGGTACCAAATTCAAAACAAAGATATAATGTTTTAAATGAAGTTATATGTAGATATATATTAATCATAATATAATATTACAGTGTTGGTGTAGTGTGTTGTTACATAGTTATTCTTACACTTTTATTGTTATACTTGTTTTGGTACATACTTTATATTCTTATATTGTTATAATTACATTGAATCTTTTGTTATGATGTAATATTACAATATTCAAGGATGCACGTGTTTATTCATTATTGAATAATTGTGTGTGATTACACTTTGTGTATATTTTTACTGTTTTAATGTTATACTCTATATGGTACACTTATTTTGTTATATTATTATAGTTACACTGAACATTTTGTTATAATTTGAAGAGGTCCATTTTGTACGTCTTCACAACTCAGAGCTGTCATGGGAAAAAAAGAATAGCAAAGCACAAAAAGTGTTTGATGAATTGTTGGATCAAATTGTGGGTCAATCATCATCTATTAAGGCTGGTAAAACACTCGAGAAAAAACACAAAAATTTAAATGGTGGAATCGAAACATGAGCCTAAATATAAATCAAACTTACTTGCTATTATTAGAGTAATAGATGACATTAAAATAAGTGAAACACACAAAGATGAATTGAGAAAAATCCCACTTTGCTTAATCTTTCAAAGTATCATTGATAAAAAATTAAATAAATCATGGTGTAGAAAGAGTAATAGTAGCATTCATGTCAATATGTGAGAAAAATTACAAAAATTGACATTCTGTTTATATATACGAATTAAATATGTTTATCATGTAAATTTCAGATTATTCATGTTAGGTACTAACATGACTCATTTATTGTTCGTGTTAATAAATCATGTAATTTTCAGTTTCAAACTTAGAATTAATCAATTCTGACTTACTAATTTCTTATCAATTTTGAACGGTGTCAACGTGTGGAGTCCAAAACTACCACCCTTAGTTGCTAAGCTTAACGTTTGCCTTTGGTACCATTGACTGCCAGTATTTTAATTCATTGTATTAAAATGCACCAACACTACTATTTGAGATGCCTATGAGCGAAACACGCAGAACAAATAGAAGCAAAAGAAGAATACATTCCTCAACATTTCAACGCAACAAAACTGGATGGAAACATTTCGGTATCTATATATATATATATATATATATATATGTAATAAATCAGCTAGTTTTTGAGCATATGAGTATATTTTCCTCCCAAATTTCATAAACTCAACTCATACTCCACAATACAGCTGCACACACGTACACATACTCCAACACAGGCACACGCATACACACACTTCAGCTATATACATATTCTAATACATGCACAGTGTGATAGTTCAATGTACTGTGTTTTCAGTCATGGGAGAAAGGCTATATGTATATATATTGAGCATATGTATTTATAGGTGTTATGTGTGTATATATGAAAAAAATAAAAAATCAAGACACCAGCCACATAAAGTAGGTTGCCCAGAGTGTGAGAGAGAGTGATGCCACAGCATAAATCCATAGCATGATAACAGAGCATTCACTCTCACCAACCTCAAACAACTGGGTAATGGTACCTGCCAAAATCGCAGAAATAATTAAGCAAGCTAAAACAAAAATCAGATCGGTAATGTGACTAAGGCTACTTGGGCTTTGGAAATTTGAATTTGTGAGACGTGTTCTCTTTAACTCTAGTCGTAAGCATGAAATTGATACTGCAGTGATTTTGAAAATATTAAAAGTCTAGCTTCTAAGAAAACAGCAAACAAATCTTATCGGTGGTTGTTGTCGATTGAGGAGTGTTCTGAATCATTGGGAAAAATAATCTTACCAATGGCCATTGCAGAAGGAAGTGCATATTGAAGCATGAGAACAAACTGATACAATGGATCTGTTCCCACCAACCCAAAATGGTATGCTGCTTTAACGACAGCAACACCCAATAGAGGCAAAGCAATATATCGAACTACTAAAATCCCTATAATGAGCCACATGTTCAACCCTGAGCTCCTTAAACCTGGTAGAAGAAACAAAATTAATATTGGAAGTTTAGAGCTAGAGAAGCAAAAACCTGATATTGACATCTTTGACAGGCTAGAAATGTGTCAAGAGGTAAGAAAGACAGAAAATGGAAATAGGCATAAAAGTTACCCTTAAGTAAATTTGCTCCCACAATCAGTGTCATGGATGGGATTGCTGCCTCCCTGCATTGGTAAGACATGGAAAAGACTAGAAATCATGAATATGCTAAACATTAAAGATATTGGAGAAGAATAAAAGGCATTATTTTTAACATTTGAGTAACATTAGTACTTCTACTATGGAGAAATGCTCATTGGCTGAACTTTTTTGTAACTTCGGATGGTATTTGAGAAGAAAGCTCCTAGCAGCCTCCAGCAAATGGTCATGGATGCAACCAACCGGCTCTTGCATTTAAGATTTCTGTATGGATCATATTTTCCGACGATCGAATGGGAGCACTTTGTATTTTTATTTTTGGATGGAGATATATATTGTACTTTATTTGGATAAATTTAGAGGCCGTTTGATGGTGTGTCAAACTTTACGATTTTCTACGTTTGCCCTCTTTTAGGAGCAATTAGTTTTTTTTTTTTTTTCCTGAGGCAAGCATGCAATAAGATCAATGACACTTACCTTCATGTTGCAAATATGATAATCAGAAGATGTGGAACTAGAGCCAAACCGAAAATGTTCTATACTAAAATAAAATCATGTCTCTGAGTAGCAGAAGATAAATGAAGTATATGGTAAAATTCATACCCCAGAATAGATGCAGAACTCTCCATCACACGAAGAGGAGCACCATCACCAATCATTAGCTTTCGTATTGGAGAGACTACTCCAATGATAAGCCCAACAATCTACAAACAAGAAACAACAACAATGTTAACCTGAAATAATCACTCTTCCTTTATTCATACATCAAAAAACACGTCTCAAAATTGTTGTGCTTCTGACATGCGCATCACTATAACAATAACGTAGATAGGTGATAATAGACTAATAGTCTTGTTCTATGAGATACCCTTGTATACGTTGATCAGGTTTGAATGCAACCTAGGTAGTAAAAAATGCTAAATTCACCAATGTTGTACTTCATGGTGTGAATAAATTGCCCATATGTATGGATGCGTTATAAGATATTTCAAGAAATTATTCTATCTAAATCATTGCTTTGCAATCACTCAGATGCATCCATAACTATCCATGACATTGACACAACCGAATACATATACTTAAGCTTTATTTAGTTGGCCTTATTAGACAAACAAGATTTTCCTGTGGATCACTTAAACCTCCTGGGAGTTTACATAGATGGAAGAAAGAAGCAGCACATTTACAGAAGAACATCTGAGCATTGGATTATACCGTTGCAATGGTAGAGGGTGCAAACAACATCTTTAAGTTGAGCTGTTCTGCCAAATTTTTCACCCGCTGGCTAATCATCTTGGTAATTGGCACCTGTCACAACAACATCCGGAGGTTTATGGAAGTTCTACGGATTCTTATAACTCTATAGGAAAGATGTTACATATGATAACAAATGAGAATAGTTTATTTATGCTGCCAGAAGAAAATTGCTATAGTGATCAATGCTCCAGACAGACACAAAGCTACCTAGATGGAACCTGGGTGTCCTTCATAATAAAGGCTCCAAATGTAAAAGAAAGAAAATTTATCAAAGTATACATAATGAAAATTTTTTCCATTTGGAGCCTAAATAGGCACTGACAAAAGGTGGCAATCTAAGTTTAAACCAAGTTGCACTCCACGGGTTGAGGCCTCATAGGCTCATATATATGTTTTTATTTTTTTTCTGAAGCCACTAGGTATGACTCTGTAATGGTAAACATAATGATCTTTGATCAGCAGCCCAAAAGAAAAGTGTTGTTACAAGCTAAGGGAAAAAAAGATAGAACCTTCGTTTTATGTTCAGGTCCAGTGAAAGATATCTCAACTTGTGATTCATATCCCTTGAAGGATGGGAAATCATTTGGCAATAATTCTTCAGTGCAACACTCTATGAATGATTCTGAGGTTTCATTAGAATGCTTTATGCTAACTTCAGAGCCATTGTTATTGCTTCCTTTTGCCCGCATAATGTTGTATACATAAGACCAAATGTAAACAGCCCCTATCTGGATTATAAAAATTAAAATTGAGTGATTGAAATGATCAAACATAAAATAATTAAGGTCAATACACTTACTAAGGAAATTCAATGCCAAAATTACAGATATTACCGCCATTGAAAGGGATGCATATGCCTCTCCATTTGTGGAGCAAGTAGATGAATCTCCAAATGGACTATTTTTCTCCTCGCAGACTGCTGGGATAATAATAAGGAGCAAGTTCCCCAAATTTCCTGTTCGCATCAACCCCACCCCACAAAACAACAAAAAAAAAAAAACACAAAAAAATTGTAATTGAAAACTCTAATAACATGCCTCATAAGTTGGCAAGATAAACAAAAAATATAATCTAATGAATAAACTGTAATCAGAGGAATATGCGTGTTAGAGATACTAATAGTCCTCAATATGGAATATTTTCACCAAGAATTGTATGTAGTCTAGCAAAATGCACGCAATTGCTTCTCTGTCATACTATGTGGAAAAAAAAAGTATCCTAAAGAAGTCAATGAAATCTTATCCAAGAACATGGGGCTTACTTTGCAAATCATGATTGGTCATTTGGATTTGTGTAGGACCATGTTTTTTGGTATACCTAACATTGTATTATCTGAAAAATTTTCGTGAAAATTAAAACAAAAGAATCCTATGTTGAAGAATTAGTAAGATATTACATAGATAGGATAAAATCTTGTTTACCCTAATAAAACATTGAATAATGCTATTTGGATATAAAAATTTGACCTAATTTGCTGACATAATGACGTGGCTTAATAGGAATTATTGGATCAACACCAAGTTCTAATGTTTAACGGACCTACAGCCAATCCAAAGGTCATAGTGAATTAGGTCAGTAAATTAGATCAGATTTTTAGATCCCAATAGCATTGCTCTAAAACATTTATTCATGGTTTCAACATTTCTTTGTCAAGAAATTGTGTTCTGACATAGGCTGCAATAAATTGCTCAAGTTGGTTTTTCATCGTTTATTTTGAAAGATTTAGCAGCCAATATATGATTAGGAGTTCTCGGATGAGAAGGTTCACATGATAGATACCATTATATGGTTGGGAGTGATTAGATGGTGAAAGGATAAAAGGTTAACAATTTGAGGAGAGGGGAAGCTCTATATAGATGTTTATCTACCTGCAGCACAGCAACCAATTACAAGGCCGTGCAAATGTCGAGGTGTTTTAGTGGCTTTTACAAGTATCCACCCTAGTGCTGAACCAATGATAAATGTGAGAAGGATATTCACTGGCATGAACCACCTACACATGAGCCAAAAGTCTGCCGTCAAAATCCACAGGAATAATGGCAGCAAACTTACAAGAAGAAAAATGGTCCACTACAGTTAAATAGAACTGAACTTACAAAGAAACTATGCTGCTTTCTGTAATTGTATTAGCAAGATTGCTCGCCACAAGTGCTGGAGTGAACACAAAAAATACAAGCTGTGTACGTATATGTTATGAAGTCCTGTGTTAGTGTTCTGCTTTGATTGAAATATCTAATGCATGGTGAGGGAACAAAAATTAAAAATTCAATTATCAAGAAAGCACCGATCAAGAGAGAGAATTAAATAAAACAGTTAAACGATAACTATCAAACTCGTCCCAATTTCACAAATAAAATTTAAATGATAATAATCAATGACTTGGTATGTAAAGAAAAGAGGGAATTGGAGATGAAAGAGAGACCGAAGATAGAGTGTCGATATAGAATCCTATGAAAGAAGCTTTAAGTTTAAATTTTTAATTCTTGAAAGAATTTAATTTTTTACTAAAATATAAGGAATAGTTTTATTGGAGTCTAAAAATTTATTCTAAATTGTTGACCTAATGACATGAGAGCGGGGATGTTGATGAAGTACAAAAGGAATTTGATAGTTTAGTGCTCTGTCAATCTTTTTATTACTGTTGCTAAGTTTTTTAAATTCTGAAAGACTGTGCTGTCGAGTTGTAAAATGATCAACAAAAATTAAAAATTCAATTATCAAGAGAGCACCGATGAAGAGAGAAAATTAGAGAGAACATTTCAATGATAATCATCAAACTCGTTGCAATTTCGCCAATAAATTTCGAAGGACTTCACTACTTTACCCAAGAAAAAATTTTGGTATCATACCTCTAATTTTTACAAATTTAATAAGTACTTTTATAATTTTGTTGGTCATTTTACAATTAAAAAAATTATCATTTTTATTGGTGGTTCACCACTTTTGTGAATATTTTTATCACTATTATAAATATTCTTCTAAATTTGTTGTAACTATTTTTACCACTTTCTTTCGGTATGAAAAAAATTAGTGTAAATTTTAGTGGACAAATCCTAAAAAATAGCCTAATTAGAAGAACACCCCTATAATTTTGAAAATATCACTATCACCCCTATAATTTATATGTCTATTTCAATTACTACCCCTATAATCAAATATGTTACTAACAAAACCAAAAAGTGGTGATGTCAGCAAATCTTCTCTCTTAAATAACAATTTTACCCTTTAAATGTAAGGTTATAAAATATTATCCTATACACCCAAGCATCCCTTATTCTCTTTTAGAATAATACTAATCTTAAACCCAAACAAGTTTCATATCCTTCACATTTTTCTTTCTTCTCTCTCTTGACTTGGCCCACGAAAAAATCAGCACAACCAACAATTTTAGTTCATATTAATATAATTGGTCTATTTCACAAATTATCATTATTAATATAACTCCACCAGATTCATATAAAATTAATAGTCAATTTAATTAAATAAATATTACATTTTTTTTAATTTAATCAAATGAACACCCAAATTAATATTCAATTTAATCAAATTAATTATAATAGTGACCATCAATTTCTAAAATTAACATTGAATCTTGTCAAATTAACATATAATTTCATAAAATTAACATTACATCCACCCAATCGTTATTTAATTTTATCAGACTAAAAATAAATTATATTCAATTTTATCAAATTAACACAAACCTCAAATTTCATAAAATAAATTTTCAAATTTTCTCATATCAACCTTTAATTCACCAAGTTAATACCAATTTTATATTCTATTTCATTAATAGCACGAAGTTGACTAATTACATCTAAAACAATAGGTGTGTCATGAAATTGAATGTTAATTGATATTAAATTGATAAAATACGTGTTAATTGGATTCATTTGAATTTTAATTTGATAAAATTGAAGTTCAATTTGTTGTTAATTCGATGGAACTATATTTTAAATTAAATAAATTAACTGTTAATTTGAAAAAATTAGATTTTAAAATATTAATTTGATGAAATTAAATATTAATTTTGGTGTTAAATTGATGAAATTTGTGTTAGTGTGATTAAATTAATTTAATGAAATTAAATTTCAATTTGATGAAATTGAAGTTTAATTTGATGAAACTAATTTCTAAATTAAATAAATTGAATGTTAATTTGATTTTAATTTGACTAGATTAAATTTTAAAATATTAATTTGATGAAATTAAATTGAATATCAATTTGGTGAAATAAATTTTACATTTATGAAATGAATAGTTATAGAATAAAATTAAATTTAATATTGATGAAATTCATTAGTTTTGTTGGATGGTGTGCACGAGAGAGTGAAAATGGCTTGCACAGAATGAAGGATAAATGAGTAAAAAGAGTTTTTTATTAAGGATAATTTTGTAAAAATAAATTTTTTGTCAATTCAGTTAAAGACAAAATTTGACAAAAGCGGCAGTAATATTTCAAAAATTATAAAGGGTGTCCCTAAAATTAGGCTATTTTGTAGGAGTGTTAATGAAATTTACTTTTAAATTATCACTTTTGTGGGTGATTTATCAAATTTATGAGTATTTTTATCACGTTTGTGGATGTTTTTATCACTATTGTGATACCTATTTTTATCAATTTTTTTGGTATCACAATAATGATAAAAACACACAAATATCTTAAAAGCAATTATAAATGTGATAAATGAAGGTTTGGCACCAAAAATAAAAAAATTCGGTAGTCAACTTCTCAAGTAGGAAAAGGGAATTATAACTTGTGTCATTTAGATATGATCGTTTTGCCAGAACAATTAAGTTTTTTTCTTTGTAGGTTTAATTGAGGCCTTCTTTATCGGGTTTAGACTTTCACCGGGCTTTGATTTTTGGTTTTGCTTTATTATAGACAGACATAAAATATGGAGGATTGTTTGTGGGTTAAACTTGAAGGCATAACTAACCCAAAAAAAAAAGAAAAAATACTTCAAGGCATAACTTTGTTGCCTTTATACATACTAGAGCTAGCCCTGGTAATGGTATGGAGGTATCCTTCTTATCAGGCAGCTCAAAGAGGATAGATATATCCTTGGCCCTGCTAGAGCTTGATGTTTTTCTCACAAAAAGCTTGTATTGTTTGTTGAGCTGTTTCTAGTAGAATAGCAATAAGCTCGCTCAATTTTGATTGAGTCTCTTGACCCTGTGACTATCTTTTATTGTCATTTTGTCCCTTATTAAATTTTAGTCCATCATGCATTAACCAACATATCAAAGACCCTGTGTTTATGTTTCTAGCTTTCCCACCACAAATAATTTTTCAGCCTTTGTCCCACCACAAATAATTTTTCAGCCTTGTCCCACAAACAATCAACATCATTAGCATGTGACTTTTAATCATTCTCTAATCTGTAGGGACCAATGCTTTTAATTATGAAACAGAAAAAAAAAAATCTGAAATCTGATGTATAAACGTAAAATTGATTTCAATATTTTTTTTCAAAACCTAAAGTGAATGTGAACTTACATTGTTCAAATGGTGCCGTGCAACTGCACCCAAGATATTCATGCGGTCAAGTGCAAGAAATAAGCCAACAGCAGTGATCAACAATGTCTTTAGAACCGGCATCAATGCCACAACGAACAAATCCACGAATCCCATCCTGAAGTTTGCCTGGAATTGGAATCCTCTATTCTCTTGCACTTCTTGAGAAAAATAAGAAATAAAAAAGCATTTTAGATAATAATCTTCAAGCAGAATACTGTGGAAGGAACTTCGCATTTATGCTAGTGCAAAAAGATGATGATGAAGTAGTAGTATTTTACCAGAAATGCTATAAAAAAATTGTCCAATAAAAATCACTCATCATCCAGAAGTTGCTAATCATGTTACAATGCAAAAACAAAAGTAAATGACAGTAAAGAGTGACTGGCTTTATGTGGTTGAATTTCAGGGATATGAAAAGACTAATGCTATTAGGCTTAATTTGGAACCTTGTGCAAATCATCTTTGTGTTAATAGTGGGTCTCAACTTTGAATATTGCTCATTTTCGTTGCAATGGTTTCAATGCATTAGGTCCTTCGATTAGGTTTAATAGTGTTATTGACATGAAGAATGGAGCGAGGAAGAATTACCTGAAGATCCTGATGCAAGTCTTCAATCAGAGCATAACTGAGCTCCAAAAATCATCTGGAACTTGTTCCTCTTTCCCCGCACTGTGACGTCTTATCAAACGCAGCAATTCAGCTAGATCAAGCCAACACAAAAGGTGTAAGTTTAAGTGGACTGAAAGATCGTTAAAGTTAAACTGAGAGGACTGCAATATTTATATATAAAAAAAGAGTAAATTACATATATAGTCCTCAAACTATGACTTTTTTGTCAATTAAACTCCTAAATTTTTTGTGTCAATTGAATATCTGATCTCTCCAATTGTGTAAATTGAGTCATTTTGTCTGTCTCAGTTAAAGCGTGTCACTCATGTGACTATAAGACAAAAAAAGACAAAAAAGCTCAATTGACACAATTAGAGAGTTTAGGGGCTTAATTGACATAAGAGTCATAATATGAGGGTTATATGTATATTTTACACCAATTCGCCACTTTTCGTTAAAAAAATTAACGAAGACCGATGGAAATGCTCAATTGATTCAATTAGAGAGTTCAAAAGCCCAATTGACACAAAAAAGAAATTAAGGGCTTAATTGACACAAGCATCATAGATTGAGAGCCACATATGTAATTTACTTTAAAAAAATGAAAAAAGTAACTGAGAGTATGTTTGCTTATATTGTTTACTCAGAGTGGCCTGAGTCTCCGGAAAAACTGGAGGTTTCACGATCAAAGAAATCTAACTCCAAAATGAACTTTTCCTATATGCTATATAAATATAAAAGAATTAAAAGCTCTCAACTTGGGCATGATTCTATTTTTTTTTTCCTGATAAAAACAAAAATAGAATCATGCCCAAGTTGAGTCTGCAGTTTAAAACATGTAATGATAGCCGTAAAACTTTGTTTAGGGAAATGGCCCCACTTTCCAACTACTTTTTTGGAGGTACACCAGCTAGCTGTTTGATAGGAACTGGTCATCCTTTCAACTTAAACGTGTAACACAACCACTAAAACTGTTTAATATCTTGGGGGTAGATGGTGTAAATTTTTCTACTTTGATTGACACTCCCTGGGATTTTTTCTGTTGTGGTCCAGGTTTCATGTGGACACTGCTGGAGGATGCACTATTGATAAATTTTTCCATTTAGCTTCTCCACAATCTTCACACATTGCCAATTGTTTTAAAACAATATACATATGTTTCTCACTTCTTCAACTACCTCCCCTCATTTGCATGAATGGATCAATTGGGCATTGACTAAGGCCCTTTCAATATATTAAGGGGTGACAAGAATGCTATTGATATAGTATGAAGTAACATCAAACTGCATTCAACAACTAATCAACAAATTAATACTTCTCTTAAACATACCCTTTTCCTTAAACAAATGTTACCTAGAAAATTTTCTATTTCTTAACCTATAATAATCTCAATTGCTAACCACTCGTAATTGTAATACAATCTTCAGATGCATTCAAGCATGGAGAATTATCTAATACCTTTTTTTTTTCTTTGTGGGAACTATATAAGAATCCAACAAGTTGAGCTTGAGGCTCTAAATTTCAAAAAAAATAGTTGTATTTCTTTATGTTAGATGGTGTATTTCTTTGCTATTTATTATAATTCTGGCCAAATTGAACTTTGACCCCCTTAACTAGCTCAATTTCACTTTGCTCCTTGCACTACTGTATTTTACGCATTGTCCCTTCAACTATTTAAATTGATTTTGCATTATCCAAAACACAAATGTCTGACATTTTTTGCCCGAACATTGTCAATGTGTGCTGAGAAAAGATGAAATGAAACACATAGTTTGGTAGATAAAAGAGAATATAAGTCATATTATAATGGACATTATTAATTTGAGTAATATGAAACTAACATAGTTGAAGATGTAATATTAAAAATATGACAGTTGATGAGGCGATGTGAAAAAAACGTCATAGTTGAGAAAACCAAAATATAATTTTTCCCAAAATTTTCCTAATTCTATTGTCTACCGGTTGCAAAGGTTTTCACGTGCATAAAAATTTGGAAAAATTATCAATAAATATTATTTTTTTCTATAAATATCCATTACGTGCTATTATATTTTTTTTTTATGTCAATGAAGTTCTATTTTTAGTATTTTACTTCAATGAAGTCCTAATGCCATTATATTTCAATTTTACCCTTCATTTTTAGTCATGAAACCATTTTATTTTATTTTTTATTCTTTCTAATATGTCACAACTCTAGTGGTACACTTTTCAGTGAGATTTTTAAATTTCTATTTCTTCCTTTTACTCAACAACAGTGATTTTTTTTCTTTTTTGTGTGGAGATTATGGATTAAAATTTTATTTGCCCTTTGTTCTCACTTTTTACTCATAGGAAAATTGTCGGAGTTAAGAATTACATCATTGTTTGGTATCAACTATTATTTGACTTAATTTTATGTTTTTTTAGAGAGGATCAATTGTCATCCTTTTTTGATATAAGTTAATTTACTTATTTTTTTTTAGAAACCAGTTTTTGCACATTTGCTTTGCATATGGGGCATTTGGAATTATAATTTTATTTTTGTATTTTTAGCTTTGCTAAAATTATATAACAGCTATGTTATCAAATATATGCTTATGAATCAAGATATAGAATTGCAATCCAACTTCGAACTTTTGTTTAACATAACATTTAGAATGTAATAAAGTGAAGCTTCTAGCTAATATGATGGAAGTATGATATTTTAGAACTATCTCTATATAATGTTGTTTACTGAAGTTATATATGTAATATATTGTCCTGTTATAACAAAAAAAATAAAAAAAAAATCAAGATACAAACAATAAAAATAGGTTTCTCTTATCTAGATATGTTTTTCTATATATTCGGTGCTACTTTATTCTTTTTTTTTTTAAAAAAAATAGCCTACTTTATGATTTATTACTTCATAAAATGGAGAAATAGATTAAGTGACCTAGTTTCAAAAGAATTCGACACTGGTTCAATAAACTCTATGATGCATGCTAACAAATTATGGCCATGATTATATTTGCACAACCTTACAAGCTCATGATGCCAAGAGGTTTATGTGTAACTAAGATACCTCAACCCACTAACAAAATGAATAGTTAGGATCAACATGGAAAACACAACAGGTTTTGGTGTTAATCACATCCACTAATCCATTTACTTGTCCAATGAACAATTTTAACTAGAAATACACAACAAAAACAAGCCAACCATTATAGGGATTTTATGGTTCTTGCCAGAAATTCCACTAGCAATATACCAATAGCATACATAAGTTTTGATATGTATGGAAACAAGAAATCTCAATAAAAGTGTCCACACCTCTTGCATGGATAAAAATGGTACAAATCCTTTAAGATTTCACATGGAAACCACAAGAAACATGTCTTCATATATCCATACCTCCACTCAAGTTGGCTTCAAACACTCCAAATTAAGCATATTGGAGTAGAGAGAAGTCCTTTTCAAGGATGTGAACCGCATATTTGGTGATCCTGATATATATACCAACAAAGAAAGAAAGAAAGAGAATACATATATACTACTATAAAAAAAATACTTATCTCAACCAAGTCGAAGATGAAGAGGGGTAGAAAGCTAAAACAACCAATGATGATTCATTTTCCCTAGATTACTTTCATCTTCCTTTAGAAATTTGGTTAATGAATTGATGCAAAATGAGAATAGATAAAGAGAGACACTTGTGGAAGAAAAACAAAAGGTCACTAATTGTACATTTTAAAAGTGAGTATGTGGAAAAAAATGATATTGTAATTATTCATTATAATATTAAAATTCTAGTAACCCAACAGTCAAGATTTGTTTATCTTAAACTTAAATAGTAGCCAATAATAAAATAATTTTGACAATTATTTTATCATATTAATGTTATTGATTACAGAAAGGTAATATAGATATTAGTTAGTTTGTTAGGGTTATTTTGGTCTAACAAATATTTTTCACTTTTGTTGACATTTAGAAGTAGTATAGATAATGTTGCATTTTTATTGAAGCTACTATTGCAGATACATGGATACTCAATTTTATTTATGTAATAATATTCACTTCAATTGCAATTCTAAAGGCACAAAGTACTAGAGTTCTCATGATAAAACTCTTCTCCATTGAGAATATATAAGGTCCAAAGCCCCTCTATTGTATCCCATAATGACAATTCTAAAAATTATTAGTAATTAATTTTTTCACAAAACTAGCAAGTAGACAATACATAATTTAAAACACAAGAAGTCGGAGTATGTATGAATAGAAAAAGACTAATGTTATAGCCACAATACCTTTTTTTTTAACTTTAGCCACAATATCTTCGATGACAATATTTGTTAAGAGCATGATAGAAATGACACAAAATATAGCATTTATGAAATTTAGGACTTCATTCAAATAAATTACCAAGAGTACTAGGGAGTAGGAATTCATTGATATAAAATTAAAATGCTATGATTTAATGGATATTTGGAGAAAAAATAATATTTATTAGTAATTTTTCCTAACAATTATTGAGTCAAGGACTGTTG